GTTCTAGGTTTACCACGATATGGCGTTACAGTACTACAATGTTTCCCATGAACCAAGTATTCACCATGAAGAGTACTCGCGATGGGCAGACGTAGAGCGTACATACCGTCTGTCATATATACACACACACACTATTTTTCATTTTCATATTTCGCAGACGTCCCACTTCACATTCATACGTTATTTGTGTCTATTTTGAAATCGTCAAAACGACCCCCTCTTAACGAATGACCTTTAAAAAGAGAGCTACCACCGTGACCTTGCTATCACACATACGTGCGATCTGCAGATAAAACGATCCAGGAATATAATTTTTAGCATTTGCCACCCTGGGTGGTACAGGTAATCTGATTTTGGTGCCAATGTTGTGCGGTCTCTCAGTCGGCTGGTACCAAATCGATCTCACGCCACGGATGTTGGAACAATGGGCGATATTGTTACACACCTCCCCCCCTCCTCGCCCCTTCCTCCTCCTCTCTCCACCGAGAAATGTAAATGGATCCACCTTAAAAAAAAGTGTCAATTTTGACAGATTTGCGCGCGGTGGGGTAAAGCATGGGTACTGCCATCTGCACCGAGACGTCTTTACCAGTGCGGAGCTGCAGGCAGGGCTGCACCTGGACCTGCCAGGTGGGTGGGCAGCAAACTATAACCATGATAACAAAAATAACAACAATAACAACAGCAATAAACAAATAAATAATGCGAATCGTAAGACGTTATAAACATTCTGCTGAAATTTGTAAGAGGCAAGATCGATGGGGGGGAAACAAAAACTGAGACGTTGAAAGCATTTTATGTGCTTCCAGTGTAATTTATCGTGGGTATATATATAATGCCACTTGTGGGCTGGTGTCATGGTCTAAATTTGTCAAATCCCAAAAAAATAAATTACTTTCGACTGTAAGCTGCAATGGAGTGTGCGGGAGATAAGGAGCGAAGAGCCACAAAGCCTCTCCCTGGCCGATGTAATTGGCCAGAGTTTAGATTTGTCCACTACAAAGTGGCGTGCCATCGGTGTGACCGCCACCGCCGCGCCGTACATTAATTGGCGCTCTTGAATGTGACATTCATGCAGGGCAAAATCCATTCATAGATACCCCCTCTGAAATAATTGGCGAGTAATCACTGGGCTACGCCTTTTTTTTCTTTACACTATGAATTCGTCTTCTTCTACGGATCTGACTGCTGATCAGACCACACAAAGTCGAACACCGCGTCGGAGTTTGCGTGCTCAATTGAGGGCACGCTGTTGGCTAGAATTGGTCTGGAATGTATGTATGTTGAACTTCTTTCGCACCGTACGTAGCCAAGCGTACGCATTCAATTTGGAAGGCCAATGAATAAATAGGCCGATGGACTCACGCATCATTTGTTCGGTTGAATGTTTGTCAAGCAAGTGCCCATGACCGAAACGGCATGAGGAGAGGCCTTCATTCATCGGTCGATTCTAAAAAAAGACAAAGCACGCTGGATTATTGCCATTCTATACACACATAGACAATGATTCCCCGTCTCGCCTTAACATACTTTTGGGGCAAGTGCTGTTGGCAATACACCTACGAAGGCCGACACGGCACGCGAGCGGGTGGGTTGCCAGCACCCCGCCCAGACGTCTTTGTCTCCGCCAATAGCGATTTGTACTCATCGCACAAGCTACTCACTTGAGGCTGAGTCGACCTAGGGGAGGCTCAGGACCGGTTCAGATAAACGTCACCGGTGTTGATGGCGGTTGAGTGAAAATCGAACTCGCGTGGCCGGGTTCGTAGCGCGGCGCGCTCAACCGCTCTGCACGTACAAACACATGCAATGTTTGAAAACAACATACCATGCCGTCGAACGATGGCCCGCTAAGAGAAGTGCACCCTCCCCCCTCTTGATTCGCATCTGCGATCTGCACCACGCGGCCCTATGATGGCGCAGGGTGCAGGCAGCGGGGCGATTCACATCCTCGAGTCAGCCGCTTCGCGTGAGCCCTCAAGGTTCTGCGAAGGCAAAGGCGCGGCCCTGCAAGTGTGCTCGCTCACACCGCTGCTAGCAGACGGGGTCTCGACTGACGGGAGCTCGAGAAAGGCCCTCTTTAGAGGAACCCTCCTGGTCCACGCTGGCACAGACATCTTGGGAGAGGTGGAGGGTTGGGGTACCCACACTTTACCCCACCATTGGCGACCTGCCGATCGACTCATTGGTCTCGTTTCCCACTCGATTCTTTTTTCCAGAATTCTGCAAGGTCGGTTTGGAGTAGGGAATATTGGCGTAAGGCACTAGCACTCCAGTGCAAGGTACGCTTACAGCCATAATAACCGTATATTACAGTGTCCTACATTTAATGTGCAAAGGTTGATGGCACAATATAGACGAGAAGGACACGGCATAATTATTACCGACATAGCGTCCCTGATTGTCGCCGCGGTGGCGAGATGTTAACTACCTCACCTGGTATACAGGAGGTCGTGGGTTCTATCCCTGACCCCGACGGCTGTAGATGTGGAGTTTGCACGTCTTTCTCTCTCTCTCTCCCCCCGTGGTCGCGTGGATTTTTTCTGGACCTTCCATTCTTCCCCCCCACCACATTTAGAAACATGAATTTAGAGTGTTTGGCTGCTATACAATTCCACATCATGAGCCGTGATTTTGAGCAATCATTTGTGGCCAGGTCGCTTCTGAAAAACGAGCTATATAACTCAGTGGGCCTTACCTGGTTAAATAAAAACAAAGTTTCATAGTTTAGTTCATTATGGGCAAGCAAACGCCCAGGGTAACCTTATTTGGGGATGACAAGCCTACTTTATATTATTATAATTTATCACTCCATATTTCACGTTTTATTGCTGTGCGCGGCACACACAAACACACCTCCGCGTAGAACCCCATTAATCCCCGCACTGGCATATGCTATCTGCTCGGCAAGTACAAAGTAATGCGACGTTTGTCCTCAAACGGGCGTACGCAGAGGGTGGATCCAGGGGCAGTGTGTTGGACGGTGTCCCATGTGTGTGTGCGTGCGTGTCGACTCAGCTTCAAATGTGTACCTGGTGCAATGTGTAAAGATCGCCACTAGGCAGTCAAAGGCGGCTTGGGCGTGGTGCTGGCCACCCACCCTCTTGTGTGCTGTGCTGACCTTCATAGGTGCTCGCTAACAGCACTTGCCCCAACAGTCTGTTAAGGGCTATACGGAGGATCTTTGTCTTTGTCTCGTGTGTGTGTCGCTGTGGTGTTGGGAGCGGTAGTGCAGCGGTTAGCGCGCTGCGCGACAAACCCAACGACCCGAGATCGAATTCCGCTCACGGCCAACACCAGTGACGATTATCTGAACTCGACCTGGGCCTCCCCTAGGTCGTCTCAGCCTCAAATGAGTACCTGGTGCGGTGTGTAAGCATCGCTGCTGGGGAGACAATGGCGGCCGGACGTGGTGCTGGTCACTAAGGCCCTCGTGTTCCGTTTCGGTCTACATAGGTGCTCGCGAACAGCCCTTGCCCCAACAGTCTGTGAAAGGTTATACGGGGGACATTTGTCTTTGTGTCAGTGGGCGTTCGTGCGTCTGCGCATGCTGCACGTAGCTGGAGCGTTGTGGTGAACTTACTGCACTACGAATCCCAACATAGCCCCCCCAAAGTTCGATTCCAACAAGCACGTGGCGAGCGATATCTGAACCGGTCCTGAGAATCATCCCCTAGATCGACTCGGCCTTAAACGGGTAAACATCGGTGCGGTGTGTAGACGTCGGCACTGGGGAGAGACAAAGGCGGCCGGGCGTGATGTTAAACACAACATCTTTCATAGGTGCTCGCTAAAAGTCTACGGGGGGGGCTATCTTCATCTTCATCTTTTATTTGCTGCGTCACGATAAGCACGTGCACACCTGGGTCTACCATACGTGTATACGAAGCAGTTCAGTGTACAGTACTTCTATGCTCCCCACGTCAAACGTTCCCCGCCTTATCCTACCCGCACCGACCAGCGTGGTGAAGTATGGTCAAATAATCCCACCCCACCGCCCCCAGCACCACCACGCAGGCTTGACGAGTAAAGGTCGTCATCCAGCAGTGGATTGATTGACAGACGCAGTCGCCGCACGTTGCACCATTGCAAGAGAGCGGAGCTTGCGGAGCGCTCGAAGTGCGTGAGTGGCTGAGCGAGAGACGAGAGCGAGAGAGAGGGACACAGTGAAATCTATTGTGAAATCTTTAATTAAAAAGAGGGAGGGTTTACATAAAGCAAAGCATAAAAAAAACAACAACAAAAAAACAAAATGATGAACGAAGCAAAGTGCCGACTACACCGAGCATTTTCTTGCTTCCTCTGATCGTAAAAAAAAGAAGAGCGAGCGAGAGAGAGGGACAGAGAGCGAGAGAGAGGGGGACAGAGAGAGAGAGGAGGGAGCGAGCGAGCGAGAGAGGGGGGAGCGAACCGGGTCTCACTGCACACCGCGCGTTCCTTCCCTGCGGACACCGGGAACGCGTGCGCAGTGTGCCGGGGTGCGAAGGAGCGTGGTTGGTGTTGGAGAGGTATACACACAGACACACACACACAGACACACACAGACACACACACAGACACACGCGCGTGGCGAGGGAGCGAGAGGGAGAGGCCGAGCAAGAGAGGAGGAGGGAGAGTGGGGGGAGGTGGCGACAGAGGAGAGAGGAAGAAGCGGAGCGGGAGCAGGCGACGGACGGAATCGAGACATCGGAGCCAACGGAGCAAGCGGCAGCGCCGAGGAGGACTCGAGGAGGAGGAGGGAGAAGGAGGGAGGAGGCGAAGTCAAAAGATCGGAGCTCTCATTGAAGGGAGGAAGAGGAGGAGGAGGTGGCGAGGTGTGACCGCTGGAGTCGCCCTCGAGTCACCCTTCGAGTCGAGGCTGCCTCACTCGTCGCTCGCACGGCACCCGCCGGCGCGACTGCGTGAGCGGGCGAGCGAAGAGGGGTAGGAGGAAGAGGAGGAGGGGGGGCGGAGGAGGAGGAGGGGGTAGAGGGAGAGAAGGAGTGGGAGTGTCACCGCTGTCCCGCAAGCACCGCTGGGAGAGGTGAAATTCAGGAGCAGCAGCAGCAGCACGGGAGAGAGTGGTGGCCGAGACGGAGCGAGCCGAGAGAGATGGGGGGCACGATGTGAATCTCCCCCCCACTGCCCCCTGCAACGTCTTCATCATCGGCTTCATCACTGAGCCCGCTTAATTTAAATGTGGCATCATCATCATCATCAGCGGCAGGATCATAATCATCATTCGCAGCAGGAGCAAGATAATGAGCAGCGGTAGGATCGTCATCATCCTTAGGAGCAGCAGGCAGCAGCAGCAGCATCAGCAGCAGCAACAGTAGCTGCAGGATCATCGTCATCATTAGCAGCTGCAGTAGCAGCATCATCATCAGTAAATAGTCATAATCCATCAGCAGCAATATCATTATCACCAATTAATTATTTAAATCACAAGCGAAACCGAAACGTCACGACGCACAGTGTTTCCATCGCTCTGCTTGCAAGGAAGAAGACCTGGGATCTAATGAGGTGCACAGGCGGGCCAGGAGGAGGGGATGGAGGGCTGACGAGGAAGATTAAGGAATGAGGAGGAGGCGCGGGACCAGAGGTTGTTGACCACTCCGAATCATCTTCAGTCGGGAGTGTTCGATCACTCCTCTGGCTCCCTCGTCCTCTTGCACGGCCTCTTGACAAGGTGAGCAGACACACATCCACAGCGCGCCCACAGCACCTTGACCATGCTTTACCGCGACGATTTCACAATTTAGATGTCAAATGTGCGTGTGTGTGTGTCGATTGCCGCTTGCAAGCACACGCGCGCGTATCGCTTCATCCTTTGTTGACCCCCCCCCCCCCCCCCGACGAGAAAGCTCGCAGATTGAGATCAGACGCTCTGCACACAACACGATCCACGTGAATGAATGTACAAAGGAAGGACTTGATCCATCGATAATTGATTCAGCGTTTGAATCAATCAGTCGGTTGTTCGGTTATCGCTGATGTTGAGATGCAATGTACTGTCATCTCCTCTATGATGGAGAGATGATGATGATGATATACGTTCTGCACGGATAGCTTTCAACTACAAGACAGCTTTTGTCTTCGTTGATGTAGTTATGGTCGCAGTTTGGCCGTCTTTTTACGTTGCGTGCCCTTGACTCTACGTTCATGAGAGACAGCACGAACAGAAAGACCCCGCCTATGGGGCAAGTGCTGTTAGCGAGCACCGTTCAAGTCTGGAACGACACACGAGGAGGTGGGTGGTCAACTCGACGCCCGGCCGCCTTTGTCTCCCTAGTAGTGATGTTTTTTTAATGCTTAGTCAACCTAGGGGAGACCCAAGACCGGGTCAGACAACCCCCGTTATTGTTATTGGTCGTCAGCGGGAATCGAACTTGGAGTCGCCAGGTTCGTAGCGCAGTGTGCTTAACACTACCAACTACATGCAAAGACAAAGATCCCCCGTATAGCCTTGACAGACTGTTGGGGCAAGTGCTGTTAGCGAGTAGCCCCTATGAAGGCCGGCGCGGGACTCGAGGGGGTGGGTTGCCAATCCCCGCCCGGCTGCCTTTGTCTCCCCAGTGCCGATGTTTACATACCGCAATGGCTACTCGTTTGAGGCTGAGTCGACCTACGGGAGGCCCAGGACCGGTTCAGATAATCGTCACTGCTGTTGACCGTGAGCGGGAATCGAACTCGGGTCGCCGGGTTCGGAGCGCAGCGCGCTAACCGCTACACCACCGCTCCCCGCGTGTACACACACATACAAAGACAAAGATCCCCCGTATAGCCTTAACAGATTGTTGGGGCAAGTGCTGTTAGCGAGCAGCTATGAAGGCTGGAATGGTACACGAGGGGGTGGGTGGCCAGCACCACGCCCGACCGCCTTCGTCTCCCCAGTGGCGACGTTAACACACGACACCAGGTACTCATTTAAGGCTGAGTCGACCTAGGGGAGGCCCAGGACCGGTTCAGATAATCGTCACTGCTGTTGACCGTGAGCGGAAATCGAACTCGCGTCGCCAGGTTCGCAGCGCAGCGCGCTAACCGCTACCCCACCGCTCGCCGCGCGTGTACACACACGCACGCACAGACGCACGTACAGACGCATACGCGCTCAGACACACGCAAGAGACATGCGTGGAACACACGTGCGCGCCACAGAGCATTGCCGCATGCGTGCACGCTGGGCAGTCGAGGGTCACAGAGGCATCTTCTCGCAAAGCGCTCGCCTGCGCTACCACCCTGGGCACGGAGAGCGCACGCGAAGGGAAGTACCAGCAAAACGACGTTGGTTGTTGCAGAGAGCGGCGTTCTTTTGCAATAACGCGGGGGTGGTGGTAGTGGTGGTTGGTGGTTGGGGACGCCATCATCCAGCAGTAGATGGACCATGGATGATGATCGATTGGTAGTGCGTGAATGGGTCCGCATTTCAACTCGTTTTAAAACAGGGGATGGAGGTGTAGCATATGCGCGAAGGCATCGGAATATAATAGAGATAACACGCATATATACAGGTTAGATTGTGGGATGCAATGAGGTGGTGGGTAGGCTGCCTGGGCATGCAAAGAAGAGGGGCGAAGTCCCTGCGTGATGATGATGTAGCGACGTCATACGACAGAAGACATTGCCACTTTCCTTCCCCGTACCTTCGATTCGCACGGGTGGTTGCGTACGGTGCGAAAGAAGTTCAACATACGCACGTACATACAGAGAGAGAGAGAGAGACAGAGGAAGACAGTCATGGACAGAAACCAAAGTGATATTTATTTGGCTGCTCGGGTCTTCCTGCGACACCCCCAGCACTCTTACAAATTGACTTGGCTCAAGTTATCTCGCTCGCTCTCTGGTAACAGCAGGACGCGCCTCAACACGGCGTCTTGAGACTCAGCGAGGCTTCGTGATAATACAAACAACATATATAAACACATTCGTATTGTTTCGATAGTGACTCGTTTTTTTTCATTTTTGGTCAATTCTAATCTTATTCTTGAGTGTGGCAGCAGCAGCAGCAATGCGCTCAGATGAATGCCAATTTGGTGCTGTGATCGACACGACGAGGGCGCTTCGGCCGCGAGATAGAGAGAGTTCGTGTCTTTTACCCTTCTATCTGGCAACAAAACTGACACCTTTTTTTACAAGGAGTCATGTTTGCATAAACCACAATACCTGCAGTCATAATGCAAACAAAAAACATAACTCTGATAATGTGCACTGTCCTTGAAGTTGATTGGTCCACACCCGAGACAGCTTTCCTTAGAGCCTAGTCTCACATGGGTTGGACCAGATGACGCCAAAAGGCAAATGAGGTTCCAATGGTGAGAGTTCGTGTCGTTTCGCCGTTCCTCTTCCTCCACCGTCGAAGGAGCGCTCACCACAGTGGGTTTACTTTGCGGGGTCCCATCGCTTGGGTTTGCATGTTCACAATCGCACCTACTGTGTGGCTTGTCTTTAATGTACGCCTCTCCACCTGTTTGTAACTATATATGGGTCTCAATGTGTATCAATGTGTCTCTATGGGTTTGCTCTATGAGTATATAGTTTGAGTTGCATGGCCACAGTCGCACTAATGTGGCTTGCGTTTAATTTACCTCTGTGCGTATCTCCATGGATCTCTATGTATTTGTACGGGTCTCTAAGTATCTCTTAGAGTATGTGTGTATCTCCATGGATCTGTGTGTATTTGTACGGGTCTCTACCTATCTCTTAGAGTCTGTGCGTATCTCCATGGATCTGTATGTATTTGTACGGGTCTCTAAGTATCTCTTAGAGTCTGTGTGTATCTCCATGGATCTGTGTGTATTTGTACGGGTCTCTACCTATCTCTTAGAGTCTGTGTGTATCTCCATGGATCTGTGTGTATTTGTACGGGTCTCTACGTGTCTCTTGGAGTCTGTGCGTATCTCCATGGGTCTGTATGTATTTGTACGGGTCTCTAAGTATCTCTTAGAGTCTGTGCGTATCTCCATGGATCTGTGTGTATTTGTACGGGTCTCTACCTATCTCTTAGAGTCTGTGCGTATCTCCATGGATCTGTATGTATTTGTACGGGTCTCTAAGTATCTCTTAGAGTCTGTGCGTATCTCCATGGATCTGTGTGTATTTGTACGGGTCTCTACCTATCTCTTAGAGTCTGTGCGTATCTCCATGGATCTGTATGTATTTTTATGGGTCTCTAAGTATCTCTTAGAGTCTGTGTGTATCTCCATGGATCTGTGTGTATTTGTACGGGTCTCTACCTATCTCTTAGAGTCTGTGCGTATCTCCATGGATCTGTATGTATTTTTATGGGTCTCTAAGTATCTCTTAGAGTCTGTGTGTATCTCCATGGATATGTGTGTATTTGTACGGGTCTCTACCTATCTCTTAGAATCTGTGTGTATCTCCATGGATCTGTGTGTATTTGTATGGGTCTCTAAGTATCTCTTAGAGTCTGTGTGTATCGCTACGCGTCTCGATGCGTTTGGGACGTGCTCCATAGTTTAGGTTGCACGGCCACAATTGTTTTTTTTTTTAAATCGATATCGATGTATCTTACCCAGCCGCACCGATCAAGTCCAGGGCCTCGCCGGTTCGAGATATAATCTCCTGGCTCGGCAGTGGAAGAAAAATATCGGCACGTTTCTTAAGCCCCCACCCAACACCGATTTAATGTTAGTCGCCTATGGCGGGGCAAAGTGTGAGTAACTCACACCTCTTCCAAGACGTCTGGCCATCATGGAAGAATATACCAAGGGGGGGGGGGGAGGACAGGGGAGTGACTGGGGGTGGTGTGCGACTCTCTGTAGCTCCCTCTGGTGGAGGAGACCCTTCGTCCAGCAGCGGAGTGAGCAAGCAATTGCGGCAAACATTTTTTACCTGTGAACGGTAAACTCCGTACATTCAAATCGAGACTCGGGGGCGACGTTATTTCCCGCATTGCCACGAGCGGTGCGGTGAGTTCATCGCGGGTCGGTAGGGCGCGCTGTTGTGTGACAGTGCGAGAGAGAGAATGGTGAGCGTCTTTCGCAAACGTATCTTCCCCTCCTCCCATCTCTCGTTGCGACGGCTCATTATTTTGGTTTTATTTTGTGCCGAAAGTCCATTGATTTCCTTGCAAGTAATCTATTCAAATGGCGTGTGTGTGTGTGTGTGTACATACCCTGTGACATACAGCTTCAGCGGATCAATAACTCGATGAGATGCAATGAAGGAAAACATAGCCACGTTAATTTCGGGGTAGGAGGGTGGTGGTGGTGGATTTTTTAATTCACTTTATACGTCCTTACTAAAATGTCAAGGTGTGCTCGAAAAACACGGAGAGTTCATTATCAGCTTATCATACAGATGAACGCTGCTGCTACGTCGGAAAGGCTTGCCCGAGTCGCATTAGTTTTTTTTTCACGAGGGTCCAACCAATTTGTCGCGACACGTAATAATGGGCCCGAATCTTGCGAATGGCATCGCGGGATCTTTGGCGTCCGCTCTGGAAAAGAGGCGGTGTCGTCATCGTCGTTGTTGTTACACGCTTTTTAAATCCTTTATATTAAGTTCGCTTGCTTGCTTAGGACCGTGCAAATCTTTCGGTTGTTTTTTAACCCACTTCCCGTGATCCAATCGAGCTGACATTTTTCACACAGACTCGTTGTGCGTGACAATGCATTTTCTTGAAAAACAAATTCTAAATTTTACACTGTTTAGGGAAAATTTGTTAAATATTTAATTACCAATTGTTTAATGCTGCCAGACAATCATCTGACCCATAGGTGGCAGCCATCTCAAGCCAGAGGACGAGAGGACTCTAGCCACCCCGATGCCACGCATATAAAGGATTTATAGTGAAAAACTTTGTTTTTACGGGTTAATTTTTTTTAACTCACTCTGTCTGTTGTTGTTGTCGTTGTATCCTCAAATCTTGTAATTCAATTTTAACCCACTTACAAATATGGTATCGACTGCAAACTTGGTATATTTACGTCTTACTGATGACAATACTATATTATATCATAAACAATATTTTTTATATGTTATGTTTCGGCTTGGGTCTAATTGTCCACGCTCAACTCACGTTGACTGTAATTGGCCACGGTCCCTTACTTTATGGCAAGCTTCGGGGCCACTTCCTGGAGTCGTGGAGTTCTTCCATTACTAGTACGGTACATTTCATTAAAGCGTGTTTTCAAAAAGTTTTTTAAATATTACTTATTTTTCCGGCTAACACGTCCGCGGGTGTCAAAGAGGGCGGCCGCTGGATTGGAACAGTGAACCCCCGCAAACAAGTGACGGACGATCTTGATTTAAAGCTTTCGTGACTGCAGGTATTCATATTATTGGTTCTTTCGGTAAAGTCACGTAGAAGGGAAACAATAAAATAATAAAAAGATAAAACTATTTTTTATTATTTTATTGTTTCACGTAGAAGGAAAACAATAAAATAATAAAAAGATAAAACTATTTTTATTATTTTATTGTTTCCCTTCTACGTGACTTTACCGAAAGAACCAATAATAAGCGACGGACGGTGGAGATGAAGACCACTGGGCATCTGTGAAAAAGAGCTTGGCGGCTCTTCAGATTTCCCCGGATAAATACAGATTATGACTACGTCGTAGGGTTAGTAAAGAATTTCGGCAAAGTGGCCAGGTGGCTTATGGGTGCATGATACTGATCAGCCACAGCTGATCACCTGGGTTTGATTTCGGGTTGCAGCTTCCTGCGATCAAACGGGGTCTTCAAGAGCGGGGAGTTGTTGACCTCAGCCCAGTGACTTCCACGCGCAAGTTGAACCGAGGTTAAAATGAAAATTTTAGCGCGTAATTTAGCAAACATTATCGTTCTGAGAAGTCAACAAACACAGTCGGGCCGCCATGCTACGAACATTTCTCTACAGCAGGCCGTGTTGCAAAATGTTCCTCCACTCCTCAAGTGTGTAGCTCAGGTTGTATTTGTATGGGCAGGGGCGGTTTCTTCATTAGGGCGATTGGGCGACGCACCACAATGTCATTCAACCAGAGTCACGCTAGCCGTCACTGTGCCTCTGGATATAGTTCAATCAGCGTCATGTCACGTTCTGTGGAGTACCGCCTCTTTTTGGGCAATTTCACTCCGGCTGAGAATCGCCCCGAGTGGCCCCATAGACTTACATTAAAAGATGTTTTTTTTCGAACGGGGGGCGCTGCAATGCATTCTCTATGGCTTCCGGGAGGGCTCGCACTAACGTGCTTACGTCATCATACGTAAGCACGTTTCATCCAACAATATAATTTGTCGCCACCTATTGGAATCTTTAATAAAATAAACTTGAGTGGATTGTATTAATAGTGAGTATAGAAACAAACAAGATGTATTGTAAGAGTCACTTTATTTTGCATTAATATTAAAGAAGTGAAGTTGCCTTTACATGCTTAAGCTGTTAATTTATCCATTGCATGGGTGGACCTTATCCTTATCAATCATCCAGACATTTGCCCCCCCTGAGAGATTTTGCAGGAGCCGCCACTGTGTATGGGGGTGTTCAGAAGTAGTTCTCTGATATCTTCTTCCGCGAGGCCATTTTCTAACACTGGGGTGGGGCTCTGAATCGAGGCGTCTCATGGCTTGACCCCAGTAGCTTACATTGGAATACAATTCCCAATAAAATATCATTTAGTTTTAATCATCTAACCCCCCCCCCCCCAACAACAACAATACAGGCGACTGCTTCAGTGGCATGTGAGCTGGAAATAGCATTAATAGCGGCAGATTGTATCGTGTAGCCGGTGCGAGCGTACATGTGACGACTAGCACATTCAAATGTGCACTCTGCAGCGTGTCGCTGCGTATGTGGAACCTACGGAGCCGTTTCCTTGTTACATTTCGCTGCTGTAAATCGATGCGTGTAGCCAGTTGCGGTTTTTTTTCTCCCTTCAAATTATAAGTGAAGTCAATGACGATCACGTGATATGACTCCACGCGCTCACGTGACCAGCAGCAACAGGTTAATTGTTCTCTGAACTTAGTTTTTTGTTGTCTGTTTAGCCGAACTCTACCGTCGTCACGATTCACGGGAGGAGAGGGACAGGGGGCAGGCAGGGCCAGCTGCGATCGCATTCCCGAATATCCACACGCGGTCCAGCACTCTGAACGATGTGATCTCTGAACAGATATCACGCAAGATTTCCACGATGGCGAGACGTTCAATCTCGACCCTGACGCCTGCTGTATATTTGGAGTTTGCGCGGATCGCTCTCTCCGTGGTCGCGTGGATTTTTATCCGGATCCTCCGGTTTTTCCCCTCCACATTTAGAAACACGCCGTTTAAAGTATTTGGCGGCTGCTAATAATTTCCAAACGATAAGCCACTTCCTTGAGCTATCGTTTACGGCCAGATCGCTTCTGAAAAAAATATCTATATAGCTCGGTGGGCCTTACCTGGTAAAAAAATAATATTTTAAGACGAACAACATGAGTGCTTGGACATCTTTGTTGGTGGAAATATCACACTCCTGTGCCGGGCTTTGCAGAGGACAGTTTCTCATCGAAGGCATCCACTATTGACTTCCGCAAAAGTGGTCATCATTTTATCGATCCGACCCGATTTGAACTCGCAAGTTTCCCCGACGTGAGATCGGCTGCTGAATTTGTCACAAATCGAATCAAGAATGGATTTCTTTTCGCGCGGTTGCAAAAGCCACGTGTGGACCCATTTCATACAACACACAAATCGAAAATAATCGATTCACCGCTCAAGATTCGAGTGCTCGTATCGTGAGCGGCAGCAGTCATTTCGACAAATCCATCTATCACGCCACTTCTTTAAACAGCGGCGTCACCCCCCGTCAATTGATTTCGCTGATTTGGCATCATCGCCAATTCACGCCACTTTGAACTCGCAAACTTCTGCTTGTCAGCGGGACGTTGCATCTGTTAATACGCCTTATAAATGGTAAAGTGAGAGTACACTTCCGTATAGAAATTCATTGGCGATGATGCGTTGACAGTGGTGCACAAGCACAATTAACAACAATGACGACGACGAACACTCAACACGCTCGTCAACAAGACCGCGTGACCTTAAGCGTAAATATATAACAGACGACGTTTCGGGCAACGGTCCTTCTTCATAGCACAGAGGGGCGACCCATCAAAATTACTAACCAGGCTGCACGCTGCTTAACTTCACAGATTTTGCGGAGATATGAAGCTAAGCAGGATGGGGACCTGCTTAAATTCCGATCTTCGCTTCCGAAATCTGACGATATGTGGCGCATTTCAGGTCATTTAGTTTGCCAGCCTAATCACCCTAATTGAGAGGTTGCGACGCAGAAACGAGACGATCCCCCCCTACCTCCCACCTTCGGTGCAATTAACGAATGCCTCCCACGCACATCGCTCAATTTACATACTAATTGAGAGTTTCGGTGCATAATTGGGTGGAAAATACTGACTTAAGTCCGGGTCACACCATCAAACTCCCCACAGGTGCAATGATTACAGCCGTGCGTCAACTCGAAATGAAATTTTAAGCCTTCAATTAAATAGCTAAAAAATAATTTCATCATCGCAGGCGCTCATTCAATAGTAGTAATACTACCAATGGGTTCGCTTTGTTTATCCTGGAAAGCATCACCGAGTATCTCGACTGTTATTTCACGTGGGTCCTGTCGCATTGGGACGTTTGGTCAATTCAAAGCTATAGATTTGATTGCTGGGACATAACGCGGAAGAAAAATCTGTATCGTACGTCCCTCCAACCAGAAATCAGATTTCTGACAAGTAGCAAATGTTTCCAATTGCTTTTCAGCAGTACCGGTGATGTTTCTGCTGAAACAGTAATACTGTACACTGGTGGGCTATGTACGGCGAGAAAAAAGTTCGACACACGGTACACACAAGACATTTGCATGTTTGATCACGTGGCAAACCGAAGACATTTCACTCACGCGATGTGACCCGTAGACTCAATTGTTGAATCACAATATGGGTCGCTACCGATGTTCGAAAATGTCTAATTCGGGTCTCCAGCGGGGGTTCACAGCGCGGCGCGCGCTAACCACTGCGCCCCCTTCTCCCCACACTCCGCTGTAGCAGGTAGGTGAGCGAGGTGGGTGTTCACGCCGCCTGCCTCGCGTTACCATCATCGTGTTTATTTGTGCGGCGATGCGGACAAATATCGCGCAAATGCGATCGCAGTTCGCCGCAGACACGGCACGAGCGCACTGCACCCACTCACTCTTTCTCATCTCTCCGCATCTGTCTCACCACTCTGCCCCCCGCCGCCCGCTCTCATCCCCCAGATCACGCCGGGCACGACCGCGGCGCTGTTCTCGCCCCGCACCACCCGACAGCGGGGGGTGGGGTGGTGGGGAGCATCCGCTACATCCCAAGTTCGATCCCCGGGATTTTTAGTTTTTTTTTATTGTCGCCGTGGGATTTTTTTTTTCGCCGTTGGATTTTTTTTTTTTCCAATGGGAACCTCCCGCGATGGATGACGGCGGCGCTCGGTGCGGCTGGTGCCCCGGAACGACGTGGGCATGAAACCGCCGCCACCGCCGCCGGCCCGAAAAATGGAGCAGGGCTCGCAGCTCCCCGCGTCTCCTCCCTGGGCCTTCGCCGCCTTCCTGCTGGCGCTCACCGTCGGACCCTTGTGCATGGGGCCCGGCACCTGCTTAAGCCGAGCGGAGACCGAGTCCATCATACACATCGGTGAGGACGACAAAGCTCACGCCATCAGCTGTTTTGGCTGCAATCGTTGTCGGTGCTTTGCTCTTCCTCTCTCCCCCCTCCTCCCCCCCGCGCACTTTCACCGCATCCTCTTACTTGTAGACCCCCCTGCCCACTCCCCTGCCCACTCCCCCCCCCCTGCCCCCCCCTGCCCACTCCCCCCCCTGCCCACTCCCCTCCCCCTGCCCACCCCCCCCTGCCCAGTCTCACGTCCCAGTCCCTAGCGCACACGCAACGCTCCCCCTCCCCTCATTCCTTCCCCCCCCACCGCCCTCTCTGACTTATATAAACCACTTAACTCCGGCATCTCTCCCACTTCAGTAAACCAAATCATTGCTGTGGTTGTCACATCTGATGACGATTGCTTGTGTTGCAATAGAAACGTCGTATTTTTATTTTTATTAAAAAATGTCACCCACGTGACTTTACCGAAAGGACCAAAGAGTATTTCCTTACGGTGTCACATCTCGCTGGGGTCGTGGTTACTGCTGGTCGCGTGTCCACCAACTTTGGTCGACCAGTGCCTCGGGAATTTTTTAGGCACTCTGTGTGTGTATACACTTATATGGGACTGTCGTTTTTAATGGGGAAAGAACGGATAATACACTGTAACTTGATAAGAAATGTATGTTAATATCTTCAAAACGTCAAAGAGTCTACACTTGTTCACCAGCATTGCCAACACGTGCCTGGAATCTTCTCCAGGTGGTCTCCAAAGTGTTCACATTTTTTTGAAGCACCCTGTATATTTCGCTATGGCTGTTGGATACTACTGGTCGGGTGACGTGCATACACACTCCAGTCTAAATATCCAGCGAGAAAGAAAGCGCTCGGTTTACATGGAGGGAGACCACGCGTCTTGTAAGTGTCACGTGGACACGTGCATATACAGGCAGTCCTCTACTTACGATGAAGATGCGTTACGACGACCCCATCGTAAGTCGAAAATATCGTAAGTCGAAGATGGCCTAGCCTACCCAGGAATCTTAAAGAATGGTGATAATTTAGCAAAACAGAGCAATTTACAGTACCGTCCTGTATAAACTATATACTGTATGTATTTATTAATTACAATACTGTATTCGCACAGTAAAATGTAAAGTAAAAAAAACAAGGTACATTCTTAGCCTACCGATATGAACTGCAATTTAGTAGAAAGTTTATTCAGGAAACAATCCTATCTGCTATAAAAAAAACTTTTAACATGCATTAAACGTATCGTATCGTGGTAACCTTAAAATGAAATCGCTAAAGCTACGTATCATACATGCACTGAACGTATCGTAACGTATCATATTGTACTGTACTCACCAAGATTCTGTCCGTCGTCTGCATACTTGAACGATGTTAGTTTGTTGATAGCAAATTCTGTCGAATCGCTATCGGCATCGTAAGATCGAAATATCGTAAGTCGGACCCCATCGTAACTCGGGGACTACCTGTACTCCCTTACACGGGGCATCACTTCCGCCGGGTCTGTCCAGGTAGACGACGCGAGAAAAAAAACACTTTTCCGTGCCCGGCACACCACATCCTCCATACCATCTCGCTACCTATGCTGATGGGCGCGTGCCACGTACAGCAGTGCTCCATTCCACCAAGTGACCCAGAAATGATTCGGACGAGACTTTCCCATTGAAGCCACTTGCGCGCGACACGGGAAACGAAACAGCAACGCCGGCACACGTCACTCTCGTTGTCTGATATCTGAAGCGGTCCTGGGCCTCCTCTAAGTCGACTCAGCCTTAAATGAGTGGCCTGGTATTGTGTGTAAACATCAACCACGGGGGGGGGGGGGGGAGACAAAGGCAGTCGGGCGTGATGTTATTGACCCCACAACCTCGTGTGCCTTGCCCGCCTTCTTAGGTGCTCGCTAAGAGCACTTGCCCCAACAGTCTGTTTAAGGCTATACGGGGGATCTTTATCTTTCTATGTACATACTGTGATTATACTGGTAGGAACCACCTGGTTCCACCAGCCCACAGGGGATTATTGTGTCCGTCCGTCGTGCAGGGAGGGGCTGGGTGGGGAGGGGAGGGTGGGAAGGGGGGTGGGGCCGGGTGGGGAGGGGAGGGTGGGGAGGGGCTGGGTGGGGAGGGTGTGGAGGGGTTGGGTGGGGAGGGTGGGGCTGGGTGGGAGGTGGGGGTGGGGCTGGGTGGGGAGGGGCTGGTCACCTCTTGGTGTGCTCACGCCGGCTTGTGTCCGCCCTCACAGTCGGGCATATTTGCGGAATACACCACGCCGCCGTTGACCCTGGCCATTGACCGAGCAACCCAACGTTCCTACCAGCTCCCTCCGCAGGAATGTGTTGGTGACGGCCTAAGGGGAGACCTTCATCCAGCAGCGGATTGATCTTGGTTTCAGCTGTCGATGAGAGATGTGTAGCTCTGATAAGAATGACGAGAGGGATGTATATAATTGCGGTGTGTGTGTGTGGTTGTATGTACACACGCCTGTGTGTATGTCTCTGTACACATGCGTGTTTGTGCGACCCATATGTCTATCGGTAAAGAATGTCTGAACTGATCCTGGGTCTCCCCTCGCTCGGCTTAGCCTCGAACGAGTACCTGGCGCGGTGTGTAAACAGCAGCATTGGGGAGACAAAGGACGGCCGGGTGTGATGTTTTGTCACCCACGCCCTGGTGTGCAGTGCCGGCCTTGCCGACGGCCCTTGCCCCAACAGTCCGTGTAGGCTACACGGGGAATCTTTGTGGTAGTTTTACAGATTTTGGTCACAAGTGGTATCTTTATTATGGAGTGTATGTATACGTGTAAATATTGTGTGTGTGTATATATAAAGCGGAAACCGGTCCAGAGTTAGCTTGTACTGAATCAACGCTGCTGAAATGATGCACTTCCAGAATGACCGCAGGACCTTGACGTAAACAGTTATTCAGAATCAGGATATTTATTTAAACTGGCGAAATCCGAAAAGCTATGAAGCTCTTTGTCACAGATGTTCAGTAGTGGCGGATAAGCAGCACAAACACAAACGTGAACAAATCGCCCAAACACATACAAATCAAACTAAACCATCCCCATCGTTGCAGGTAAAGGCCATTGAGGTAGTAACTTATTTTTCAGAAGCGACCTGCCCATAAATGATAGCTCAACAAATTGCACGATCACTTGGACACGTCTACATAGCTGTTAACCCATAGGGTTTGCCCGTATTCTTGTCCGTGGAAATTGAGTTTTTAGGTCCATACTGCATACAGCCGATTCAATATGGACAAAAACAATCTATTAGCTTGTGTTTCTCCGTTGTGATGGGACTTCGTAGGATGAACGTTGGGATGTATAAGAGCATGGGGTGACCAATAAGGTCTGAATTGGTCTGTAATAAGCTTGGCACTGATAAGGGGTTGCCAGGTTTGTTTATAGCACCAGCATAATCAAAATCATCTCAATGCATGTTTATAAATGCGGAGGAAAAAACCAGAGGACCCGGAGAAAAAAAATCTACGCGACCACGGGGAGAGAGAGAGAGATACGCAAACTCCAAATATACAGCAGCCGGCGTCAGGGTCGAGGATCGAACCCCAGACCTCCTGGATACCGGGCGCGGTAGTTAACATATCCTAGCCACCATCTGTATTATTATTCAGAAGACATATGGTCTGCCTATATATTGCCTTACATATTTCGTTGTGTTATGTTTTATTAAAAACTGCACTGCCAAAGGCGTTGCGTTACGAGATTTAATGTTGCAAATCGGGGCTCGCAACTTCATAGTCACGTGTGGTCAGAGGCTTTCGTGGATTTGCTTACGGTGCGTTCCCGAGGGAACTCCCGAAAGGACGTGCGGCGGAACGTCGGACATCATTCCCAAATCAGCACGCGGCACATACAGCTCGGAAAAGACGTCGTTCGATAGAGCAGTTATTTTTATTGTTGTTGTTGAAACTTGTAGTGAGTTTCACGGCTTACGCATTGCACGTGTCATACGCGTTTTCCCTTTCAGCGTGGGCAATTATTCGTCCACGCAGCGGTTGATTGAGAATGACTGACACGTGTAATGGCAGCTCAACATACGTGCAGTTGTCATGCGCATCTCATTTTTTGTTTTACCTTTCTCTGTACACGCAGCTGCAAGTGTGCGTCTCCCGCTGTGTACGATTTAACACAAAGCAATCCCGGTATGATTACTGCCTCAGAATCACAATGATTGCTTATATCCGTGGATGATAACATATCACATTAATAATTCGCAGCCAGCTTTAATGTATTTTGCCCCGTCAATCCGGTTAAGGTTTTTTCAGAGATTCGATTCCCCTTGCCTCTTTAAGGCTAATACGCAATCGCGTAAGCCGCAGATGGGGCTGCCAAAGGCAGTCCGCTGTCAGCGTCATCAGCCACCATCAATCCACTGTTAGATGTCCACTTGCCGAGATCGAGTGGCAATCAGTTGCGACATGTATTTGTTAGCGAGCACCTGTTAAGGGCGATACGGCTCGGGAAGGCACGATGCGGCCAGAGCCAACGCCAGGTGCCTCTGTCTCCCCAGTGTTGCTGTTTGTATACTGCGCGAGGAACTGATTTTAGGCTGAGTAGATCTAGGGGAGACCCAGGACCGGTTCGAACATTCGCCACTGTCATTGGTCGGTTGTGAGCGGGGATCCAACTCTGGTCGCCGGGTTCGCCGCGCAGTGCGCTAACCATCGTGCCACCGCTCCACTGATCTCCGTCCAGAGACAAATAGCCCCTGTATAGCCTTTAACAGACCCGGGGCAAGTGCTGTTAGCGAGCACCTATGAAGGCTATCACGGCGCAAGAGAGGGTTGGGTGGCCAGCACCACGCGCGGCCGCATTTGTCTCCCTAGTGTCGATGATTACACACCGCACCAGGTACTCATTTGAGGCTGAGTCGACCTAGGGCGGAGGTGCGGCCAGGATCACGCCCAGGACCAGTTCATTGTCACTGGTGTTGGCGTGAGTGGGAATCGAACTCGGGTGCGCGGGTTCGTAGGGCAGTGGCGCCA